AAAAATTCAGGTACTTGGCAACTCAGTAAACTTTCTGCACATCCCACAGCCAGGAACATGCCAAGATAGTCCCTTCAAAGTAAAGGGCAAATTGCTGCATCATGCATCCATTGTTACGAGAAGGAAATACAATGATCATGAAGCCTTCTTAGACTTTAGAGGTAACAGTCCTAACTGTAGAGCAACTAGCCCTGCTGTTTAGAACAATGATTTCAGCACACTCTATGCTATTTGAGATGTTAATAGCACAAAACACATGACAAGCAGTTCATGACAAGTCCCAAGGGAGCAGCCACAACTCAGGCTCATGAGGTTACGGAACAAGGTCATACCATCTGCAGCAGGGGTATTCCCCTTTTGTAAAATAGCTCCTAGAATGCTAATGGGCCCTGACAGAGCTGGAATGCTGGACTTTGGGATGCCAAGCAGCCACGGTCTAAAATTGTCCATCATCAGTTGGGAACAAGTCATAAAGTAAGCAATCCATCATAAGATGGAAATGGTACATTTAAAACTGAGTATGAGCAGGAAGAAATGACACTGCCAGGGGCATGAACCAGAACCTCATGGCATCCATTGTTATAGTCATGGCATCCAGTAGGTAGTTGTGTCCATTCTGACTTTGCACCAGTGACCACATAGATCTCCTATTCAATCAGCTGAAGAAGGAGGAATTCCCCACCCCCACTTGGTTTATGGATGGGTTGATTCGGTAATAGGCAAAAACCAAAAGTGGATGCTGCCTATGTTATATAACTTATTCAAGGTGGCTGTGAAAAATGGTGATGAGATCTCTGTGAAAGACACATCTTCCCAATGGGCAGAACTTCAGATGTACCTGGCCATCCACTTTGTGTGAAAGCAAAAGTGCCCTAGAGTCAAAACATATATGGGCTCTGGCCAATGGGGGATGGTCAGGGGTCTGGAAGGGCAAAAATACAAATATCAGAGACAAGGAGGTGTGGAAAAGAGACATGTAGACAGACATATGAGAGTGGAAACAAGGTGTGAAGATTTTTATATTGTATTTTAATACCTATCAGAAAGCACCCACATGGTCTGGGACCCACACAAAATAACTTGACTAGTTGACATTCACTGGCATGGTAGGCAAACAGCTGACATGATCACAGAGTAAGAGACAAAGGCTTTACATGGGTCAAAAAACATGATTTCCACTTATGAAGGGCAATCAAGTGATCGTCTGCTTTGAATGATCAACCTTCCAGCAATACACACCAATGAGGAGCCACCAGTACAGCCACTCAGTGGCTACTATTCCGTAAGGAGACTAACTGGCCACTTGGTAACAAATGGACTACAGGACCATTTTCATTCTGGAAGAGGCAGTGGTTTTTCTCACAGGAATAGAAACTTAATCTGGGTGTAGGTTTGCCTTTCCTGCATACTAACAAGTCACGTATGGAATGCCTGATCCACAGACATGAAACATAGGATCCAATCAGGGAACTCATTTTATAGATCCAGTGTTCATGTCATATACTGTGTCATCTAGAAGCTACCTGCTAAACAGAGTGTTGGCATGGCATGCTATATGGACATCCCCCTGCAAGCATGGGGGTACCATCCTCCAAGACACGTAAAGACACTGAAATTACAGAACTTTATATAGTACTATGTCCCCAAGAGGAAGACTGCAGGTGTTCAGGAACCAAGGAGTGGAAGCAGGAGCGGCCTCCCCATCACTTTGAGTGACTACCTGAGGGCCCCACAGGTCTGAATTCTGCAAGGTTAGAGATCCTGATCTTCAAAATGGGTATGCTCTTGTCATGAGATAGCAAAGATCTTACTGGATGATAAGCTACAGCTGCCACTTGGACACTTTGGGCTCTGTGGGGCCAGAAACTAGCAGGCAAGAATAGAAATCACCATCTTGTTAGGGGTAATTACACTAATCAGCAGGAGGAGGCAGGGCTGTTACTTGATGTGAGAGGGGAGCAACGTGCATGGAACTCAGGAGACCGACTGGGTGCCTCTTGGTACTTTCTTGCCTAACTGTGACAGATGTAATGATGTAATGGAAGTAAGGTCAGATAAATGCAGGTAGGGTCACCAGGAGCTCAGACCCCCTCAGGAATGAGGGTTTGGGAAACACCACCATGTGACCACTGAAGCCAACAGAGTGAGGGACTTTAGAGGAGATAGTGGAGAAGGGGACATGATGAGTACCAGTTTTGGCATTGAGACCAATCATAGCTGTGGAGGCTATAGTTTGTCCCTACTTCTTTCTTCAAACCTTCCCCTCAGGAAGAGGGGCCAAACAGAGCTCTGAAGGGACTGCTCCCCAAATGTGTTATGAAGGAGACCCACGGAACACACAAGGTAAACTGTGGCAGATGTGGGGATGTGTCAATTAGATTGTCCTTTAAGAAAGGACTCACGCTGCAGCTGCAAGGAATGTGGTTAGCTAACAGTCTCTCCAGCTGTTCTTGTCTTCAGGGTCAACTTGTGCTGTTCTCAGGGTGGTCCCCAGTCAATGAAAAAGGCCTAATCATTTCTCCTCAATGGGGGAAGTTTAAAGAATAATCTTTGCTCTGGAGCTCTGCGTTGGAGTAGCCTGCCTATCCTGCTTCTGCCCCTTTTCTTACTTCCATCTCAACATCCCCCCCCCCCCCCCCCCCCCCCCCCCCCCCCCCCCCCCCCCGCCTAACCCCTGCCATAACTTTTGCATCTGCTTCTGAGAGACTCTAACTGGGACAGATGCATCCATTAGGCCTCTGAACTCGAGTCACTCCCTGTTCCCAATCCTGGGATGTGTGACTCAAGTAATGGAACTGGTGTTTTCTCACATGCTAAACTGAAGACTTATTCCTTTCGTAAGTACATTATATGATTGATATGATGATAAAATTAATATGTGCAGGAAAATGCTATGTAATTTGAAAGTTGCTATGTTAATGATTACAGTCTTTATTAAAAGACCTAAAGAGTTAAATCATTTCCTAGATTACCTAACAATCCTCAATTGTTAAAAAAAAAATTCAAGCCCTTTCAAAGCTGGTAAGGTGATGTGGTTTTCTGTGGTGTTACTTACTCCTAGGGAGTAATTTATATACTCAAAGATCTTGCTTGACAATCCGATGCATACCGAAATAAAGAACTATAGAGTACTACAGTAACCTGCCATGGGAATTTTGGTTTCTTTCTTATCATTTCTAGGATAACAATTACTTCCAGGAAATGAGAAACATTGAAACAATGCTTCTGATCAAACAAAGTGATGAGATCACCTGTGTAACCACAAAACAATTTTCTCCAGCACTACTGTGATCAGACATAATTTAATATCTGTTGGTAAATACTGCAGTTTTAATATACATAAAAATAAAAAGATTTCCTATAAACACATTCTTTTAGTGTTCGTTCTTGGTATTCATACTTATCTGTAATGTACTACAAGAGAGCTAGTGATTATGTCATCCCTTTTTATCAGAAAAACTTTTAGCTGCACCTTTTTAGCAGAAAAGAGGAAAATAATGTGGTATCGTTTGCTTACCTGGTGATACGTATTTGGAATGGGTTTTCTGTCTCTCTTCCTGCCTTTCAAAAGTTATTACCTCTCACTTGCATTTGGGAGTTGGCACATGTTCAGTAACAAGACTTTTGAAAATCTGTGGTTCCACATAAAGAATAGTAAAAAGAAAAGAAAAGAAAAGAAAAAAGAGTTTAAAATAATCTGTCCTTTTCCCTTTTTGTTCATCCTGCCGAAAGTAAACCATCTGCTTTTTGGTCCAAGCAGATCTACAGGTCTACAACGTCCACCTGAGTGATAGGGCTAAAACTTTTGTCTGTTTATTCAGATGTCAGTGTATTGAAGTAATGTAGATAATGATGCACCTTTAATCCAAATGGTTTTGCATAAATGGGGCGCCTGGGTGGCTCAGTGGGTTAAGCCTCTAACTCTTTGCTTCAGCTCGGGTCATGATCTCACAGTCCATGAGCTGGAGCCTCGTGTTCTCCTCTTAGCTGACAGCGCAGAGCCTGCTTGGGATTCTGTTTCCCTCTCTCTCTCTCTCTCTCAAAATAAATAAATAAGCTTTAAAAAATGAAATATAGAAAAAGCAAAAGAATAGTTCCCACGGTACTTTCCTGTAGATGCAGAATACCTGCACTATGAATTGAGTGCTAACACGAAAAAGAATGCCAATAACATAAGGTAGATTATAAGATCCACCAGGCAATTTTAAAAATGTGTTTCATCATAATTCAGCATAAGTAGCAGAATTCTTCAGATTTACACGATTCTTTGGGGGGGGGGTGGTATGTGCATTCTGTGATCTCTGATAATTGAACTCAACTTCAAAAGGCTTAAGCCAGTGACCTCAAAATGAGGTTCACAGAACAGTACCCAATGATGAAATCTGAAGCAGTAAAACACGGCTGAACTGAAACGTAAACATTCATACTCTTAGGACATGACTGACTCTTCATTTAATTAATTTTGTTTTGGAATTCTGGGTTGTCTTCAGACACTTCCTTTTCATATCTTAAACGGTGTTCTCAGGAGTGTTAGGGGAGAATCCAGCGATCTCGGGTGTCTCAGCAAAGTTTAGCACATAGTTCGCGCAATGTTACTAAGTACTTTCTGAATATAGGAGTTACCGCTACCGACTTGCCCCGGGACGAAAGGAAGCACATTTACATTTCAAGGTCCTTTGAGTGACAGGACTTCGAAAAATCTCTGTTCCTCCACCTTTGTTCCTTTTTTTTCGCGACTCAGAAGCCACCTGTACCGCATGGCACAGCTGCCCCTCTCACCGTCTTCAGACCCGACACCCGGCTGCCGACAGCCTGCTCCAGCCGTGGGAGAAGGAGGCTGCACGGAGAGATGGATAGAGTCCTGCGCGCGGCCGCTTTCGGGGAAGGGCGGGGGACGCCGAGGGGCGGAGCCGGCGCGCGCGGGCGGGGTGTGCGCGCCGCCGCCGCGTCACCAGCGTGCGGCACGTGCCCGTGTTTACGTCCCTCGTGGAGCAGCCTACGTCAGCAGCCAAATGGCAACATTGTGGCGATTCTGAAGCTTAGGGTTTAGGAGACGCGTCTCTCCGCCAGGCCGTCTCCGGGCTGTCGGGAAGAGGAGGAGAAGGAGGAGCAGCGGGGAGACCGGCCTGGGAGAGCGGCGGAGACTCCCACGTCGCCGGCCGTGACCGCCTGCCGGCCTGCCTGGCCCCGCGGGACCTGCGCCTCACCTTCAGAGAGCCGAAGACGCAGCACCGCGGCCTCGCGCTGGGGGCGGCCGGGTCGGACGCGAGGCGCTGCCGCAGCGCTGGGCTTGTAAACAGATCCAGCCGCACGTGACCATGTGAACTACCTGCTCCAGGGACGCGTATTGTCTTTCCCGCGAGCCCCGCCACAAAGGAGCGCGGCGGGTTCGAGTGCTGGGGGCCGGGCGAGCGAGCGGGGAGAGCCGGCTGGCGCGCTAAGATGGCCGAAGGCGCCCAGCGAGGGTGAGCAGGGGGCGCGGTGCAGCCAGCCGGTGAGTCTTCGGGCGGGCAGGGCCATCGGCGCCTCCCCCGCGGCCTGGCCTGGCACCGGAGCCACCATGTCTTTCGCGCTGGAGGAGACGCTCGAGTCGGACTGGGTGGCCGTGCGGCCCCATGTGTTCGACGAGCGCGAGAAGCATAAGTTCGTCTTTATAGTGGCCTGGAACGAGATTGAGGGCAAGTTTGCCATAACCTGTCACAACCGGACGGCCCAGAGGCAGAGGAGCGGCTCCCGAGAGCAGGCGGGGGCGCGAGGGGGCGCGGAGCCCGGAGCATCCGCGTCGGACGGGACCCGCGGGCCGGGCAGCCCAGCTGGCAAGGGCCGGTCCGAGGCCACTGCCTCTGCCTCTGCGATTCTGGGCAGGAGCCCGGGACCCCGGAGGAGCCCGGCCTGGGCGGAAGGCGGCTCTCCGCCGAGCGCGCGCAGCCTTCGGGGAGACTCGCTGCTGCGGAGTCCGGCCGGCAAAGCGGTGGAGAGCCCTCTCAGGAGCCCAGTGCGGGCCAAGACCAGCCCGGTTCGAAAGGGATCTGAAGGCAGAGATGTGGCGGGGGCCGCCCCTTCGGCGCCCCGGGAGGCCCCGGTGTCCTCGGTGCGTGTCGTGAGCGCCTGCGGGGCGGTCTCCGAGGAGATCGAGGTTCTGGAAATGGTGAGGGAGGACGAGGTGGCCTCGGGGGCCCTGGCTCTCTCGGACTCAGAGCAGCCGCCGCCCACCGCCGAGCTGGAGTCCCAGGCGGAGGAGTGTAGCTGGGCCGGGCTCTTTTCCTTCCAGGATCTGCGTGCTGTGCACCAGCAGCTGTGTTCTGTGAACTCGCAGCTGGAGCAGTGCCTGCCCGTATTCCCCGAGGAGCCCTCTGGCATGTGGACCGTGCTGTTCGGGGGTGCCCCAGAGATGACCGAGCAGGAGATCGACACTCTGTGTTACCAGCTCCAGGTCTACCTGGGCCATGGCCTGGACACCTGCGGCTGGAAGATCCTCTCCCAGGTACTTTTTACTGAGACCGACGACCCTGAGGAGTATTACGAAAGCCTTAGCGAGCTGCGGCAGAAGGGCTACGAAGAAGTGCTTCAGCGGGCCAGGAAGCGCATCCAGGAGGTAAGGACTCGTCTGGGCTTCAGTCCTTGCTTTTGGTTACTCACTGCCGGAGGCTGAAGCCTCAGTCTGGACCGTGAGCATTTGGGAGACTTGTTCTTCTGGACAAGAGAAGAAGATGATGTGTTCCTTACTAATCTCCCCCTTAATTCCTTTCCATGGTAGGAAAACCGTGGCTTTCCTTAATTGGCCCTCTGAAGGAACTTTAAGTCGTTAGATTTTCTCCTTCTATTTATCAAATAGGTTCTATATAATAGGCATTCGGTTCACTGCTCAGTGCTGGAAATAAAATTAAAGCTACTCAGACCAAAGGCGTCCTGTTAGACACCGACTATTCTTTTCTCTCTTGCCTCTCTTTCCAGCAGTATCTGCCCAGATATTTACTCTTCTTGAAGGTCCTGATCATTTATTCATAATAGTTTATCTTAGGGAGTATATTTGGATTTTTTTTTAAATCCCCATATGTAGTTTGGCAACTTATGCAAATTTTAAATTCATTTTCCTCCAAATGAGTGGCCTGTCTAAATGAAAAAGCACCACTCTCCATTGGATGCAAATGTATTTTTAAAGGTTTATACACACTCTAGGAATCTCTGAAGTCTTGATAGCTGGCTCACGTTTTACATTTTTTTTAGGGAGGAAAAAAAAGTCCTGGGCAGAAGTGTTTATACTTTGTGTCCTTCTAAGTAAAAGTAGTACCCAGCTTTTTCAAACTGTTTCACACTTAAAATATAGGGAATAATGGAAAAAGTCTGCATGGGTATGCACGAGGAGCTCTACAAAGTGTAAGACATGGATAATTTGAGGTAGTGCCTACAAAGCAGCTTCTGCTGAAGGAACTATACTAAAAAAGTGTTCTAAAATATGTTTTAATTTTCGGGTGGCCTGTCTGGTTCAGTCCGTAGAGCATGCAACTCTTGATCTTTGGGTTGAGTTTGAGCCCCAAGTTGAATGTAGAGATTACTTAAAAATAAGACATCTTGGAAAGAAAAGGTATACTTTATTTTTTACTAATGGACACTAACAGATATTTCCTTAAAGCAACTATTTTTAATATTACCAATAGAGGTTAGAGGTGGGTGGGGAAATGCCCCTTTTTATGGTGTTTATATTCCTGACATTGTGTTGTCATCTGTTAACCCTGCCTGTGTTTATGTAATACTTAAATTCTGCTCTGAAGGCTAGGAAGCTTGTGTCTCCAGGTTACTGGTACTATAGTATTTTCCATTACTAGACTGGGGAATTTAGGAAATAATTTCTTTATCCTTATCCCACAGTGCTCTCATACAACTTCCTGAATTCAGGTTTTCACTCCTTCCTGTTGGTTTACTTTGTGCTAAGCATCACCTACCTGGTAATGTGATCCAGGAATTCCAGGGATCTCTTTATTTTCCACATTATCATCTTCTGGAGTCTGGAGTCTGTGTTCTTAAATTCTTTTTGGAAGAGAGTGACAAATTTTAAATGGTCACATATATTCTTCTTAGAGCTTTGTTAATATTTACCTGTATTTTTTTTAATTGCAAGGACAAATTAGTGCTTCTTTCTCTTACACTTTTTTGTTAAACTCTGTAATTATATTTCTAAAGATGGAGGCAGGTCCAGTTTTAATTTTGTTGATATTCAGAAAAAGTTAATTTTGTCTGGATTAACTCAAATAGGGTAAAAAGTGAGAGTTGCCAAAAAATAATTAATTAATTACAGTTATCTGGAACTCTTCCATGGGGGTGGTGCGTTACTTTTTTTTAAAAAGAATTTCTTTTCCCAATTAAGGTTATATTAGCGATAATATTAAATTTTCCTTAAAGGAGAGAAACTTAAAGTTTTAAAAAGTATTTTGTGTTCTGGAAAACAACTCAGATGAAGTTTATTGTAAATTCATGGGACATTAAATACGTACGTGAATTTTTGGTGCTTCATTTCGTTGACTTGAACAGTATTTGGAAAATATGAAGGATAACAAATAGATTCAGTTATAATGCTCACCTTGATAGCTACTGGAAGTTTATATTGAAAGGAATGAGGCTTATTGGGGAAAATAGGTGGTGTGATTAATTAGTGACGTCTGCTGTGTGCTTGAGAATCCTGCTGTGTGCTTGATAATCAGTTTGCGAGCATACCAAGCCTGGTTTTTGTTGTTGTTCCCTAAGTGCTTAAAATTTTTACTATCCTAAGAGGTTGCAATAACTTTTGAAAGTAAAACACTTAAGGAAATTTTGTCAGTTTAGTACTAATGATTTTGTTAAGTTTATTAATTACCACTAATAGAATGGTTTTTTGTTACCGATTCTGAAGCTGACTTAATTTGTGGAAATGGCTATAGGTGTTCAAGCCAGGTATATCTGCTAAATTAAACCTGTTCTTAGATGTTACTTAGAAAGTTGATTCTTTGGTTACGGTTTTCCTCTTTAATGTCTCTAGATCTATTTTCTGCTCTTTTTTCCCCCCCTCTACAGTATTCCTTTTCCTATCTATTTAAAGGCTTCAGCTTAAAGACCACACCTGTTTTTGTTCAAAGTGGTCAGTGGTTCAAAGTGGTAAATTGTTGAACGGAGGTTTTTTTAATTTTTTTTTTTTTGGTTTTTAAAGTAGAACAGTCTGTACTGCTACATTGTATACTTCTCAAGGTCACTGGCCTTGACAGTATCTTGGAGAATTCTCTTTGCCATCCCTGGTTCAGGGTCATACATCTTGTGAGCACTCTTAGTATTTGTGGACTAAGAACATGAGAGGTGTTTTTGTTTTGTTTTGGTTTGGTTTTGTTTTTTTTAGTAGTATGAGAATTGAAAGGATTTGGAAGAAGGATCTTTTTGTTTTAAACTTGTAGGTAAATAAAACTAAAAAAAATTGACAAATGTTAATTCCTTAAGGGACTGTGTAATTCAAGAACTGGGAGTAAAATCTTGTAAAACTGAAAATAGCTTTCTAAATAAGGAGTCTTTATCTGGCATTGATGAATTCACTTTAAATTGAGGGGAGCTATAGATGGATTTTAATGGGGTTCCTTAAGGTAGCATGCTAAGTTTTCTATACACAGACATACTTGGATTTTGGAGAGAAAGGCTTTTGTCAAAGTTTTCAAGGTGTTCTGCAGAAAGAATCTTAAAACTGTAGTTCTGAATTATTTCCTTAGTAAGCTTTGGGCGCAACTCTTGGCATTTAAGTTTTGGAGTACACTTAATGATTTAACATGGGGTTATAAGAAATACTCCTATACTTTTTGTTTTGTGAAATACAGAGGAATGAAATCTTAGGTTTTCTGCTAAAAGTTTTGTTAATGATTCACAAATTTGATAGACTAGAAATAATTTGTGAGGAGCTGCAGTTTACACAGTGCTAATGAAAAAATTTTAGGTGACATAAGAATTGTAAGGTATTCAGTTGACTACAAATGAAATTTGAAATTTATTACACAGTAGGTTTCTCTTGGACTTTTTAAGGGTTTAGTGAAGTAGTGCTATTTATATAGCAGGCACGCAATTCCTGAATGAATCAAGTGCCACCAAGGCCTCTTGGAATGGTTTCACCAGTAGTGTTGGTTGTTGGTCAGAGCTCAGGATCATATTATAGTGTATGTGCTTGGGTAGTCCATACCATGGCTTACTTACCTGTGATGACCTGAATTTTGTCAGTAATGGTTTTTGTGTAAGGACTACTATTGTTGAAATGGTTGTAGTTGTAGTCTTCAAGTTAGTAAACTTTAACCATGATAGTAGGCTTGATTAAGATCTAATAATCATTGTTCTCTTTGGAAGATTACTCAGCTTACTTCTTCCCAGTTGATTTTAATTTATTTCCAGTAAAAAAACAAAACAAAACACTGAGAGCTTCATGTGTTTTCATAAGTAGCCATGTAAGGTATGGTGTAGACAGCCTACCTCCAATGTTTTGAGTCAGAACCTGGCTTACAAATAGGACTTAACACTTCAGTGACCTGCTTAGTTATTTAACCTTGTTAAAACAGGGAAAAGGGGGAGCTGTTTAAAGGATATCTTTTTTATTAAAAATTAAATTAAAATTTAATTAAATAAATATTTAATTAAAAATATTAAAATTATCTTTTAATGTTTTATTTATTTCTGAGAGAGAGAGAGCGCGCGAGCGAGCACTTGCACAAGTAGGGAGGGTCAGAGAGAGAGGGAGACAGAATCTGAAACAGGCTCCAGGCTCTGAGCGGGCTGTTAGACGCTGGGCTCGAACCCAGTATGACCTGAGCCGAAGTCGACGCTTAACTGACTGAGCCACCCAAGCGCCCCATATTTAAAGGATATCTTGAGATTTAAGTAAGCTACTATGAAAAAGTTCTTAAGTGTCTGGCATGTATAAAGAATGCTACAGGAAATGTTAATTTTTTTTTTCCCCCGCGTAATAAGGATTCTCCAGAGTTTTCACCTCAACATTTATTGCAGGGAATGTAACTAGTATTTATTGGGACTCCTGAGATATTGGAGTTTCATGTTTACTATCTCTTCGTTGTCCCCACTCCCTTTTTTGATAAATGGTGTTTCATACCCATTTTACTGAGGCTGAAATTGAGACTTAAAGATGTTGGATTTGGCCAGCCTTAAACAGCTAAGTTGTGATAAAACTCAGATTCAAACCTAGATCTGTCTCAATCTAAACGTGAACTTTTTCTGCAATGTCTTGTTTCCTTGAAAACAATAAAAGGGAGTCAGTCTGTACTCCAGAGAATGAGAGAGTGGTACTATTTAAAAAACTAGTCAGTTCAATAATGTCTTTTAAATAACTCATTTGTTTAATTTCAAGTTAATTTTGATAGGTATGTGTGGGGCAGTCTCTCCATGTTGTGTTACAGAAGAAAGAGGTTCCCTAGGGGTGCAAGGATGGGTTTGTTAGACAAGAGCGCCCAGTTGCTGTTTTCCTTTCTATCTTAAAAGGACTCAGCTATAGATGACTCATGATGTGTGAGGTTTTTTAATGTAAAGGGCCAGGAGCTCTAGGAAGAATGCTTAACCATCCCTTCTCCCAATTATGACTTTTCC